GGCTTCCCCCCCTTTGGGGGTGGAAAAAGAAAAGGGGGGGTTCCCATTTTTTTTTTTGTTTTCCCCATTTTTTTTTTGGGGGGGAAAACTTTTGGGGCCGGGGAGGGGCCCCCCTTTTGCCAGTTTCCCCCAAAATTTTTTTGGGGGGGGGCTTTGGGGGGGGGGGGGGGTCCCCCCCTTTTTTCCCCCCAAAAATTTTTCCCTTGGCCAAAGGGGGGGGTTTTTTTTTCCCAGCCCCCCCGGGGTGCCCGTGGCCACCCAACTTTGTTTTCCCCCCCCCCCCCCCCCACCCCCCCCCCGGTGTTTGCCATCGGGGTTGGCTTTTCGTCGCTTGGCAACGACGTTGTAAAACATGCCGCCCCTCCCGGTGTTTGCCATCGGGGTTGGGTTTTCGTCGCTTGGCAACGACGTTGTAAAACAAGCCAATTCACTTCGTGAACTCGGCAACCAGGTACGTTTTTTTTTCTTTCCTCTGTTTTTTTTTGGCGGTAACCATAATGGTGGTCGAGTAGATCATGTTGTGCGGGGTGGAGAACCCTCGCTCCGCGCAAGGGGGATGATCGCACCACGTTGTGTTAAAATGGTCAAGCATCCTCGAGGCAGTTACACAGCGCTTACAACTGTCTCTGGAAGTGAAAGCACCAGAAAATATATATATTAAGTCATACGCAGCTGTCATCCGTACGCAAGGAAGTAAGCACAAGATGCCGAACACCCTTAGCAGGATGCAGCTCACCCTTCATGCGACTCGCCGAATACCTCACGGCGCTTCGCGCTTGGTGATGTGAGAGCCTGGCCCGGTGAGAACCCGGCGTGCTCCGTCCCGGCTTTGCAGGGATGCGAGGTCAATGGTCTACCGACTACGGCATGCACGACTATGAATACCCCCCCCCCCCTCCGTCCGCTCGAGGATACGTGGTCAAGGTCTACTAGCTAAGGCATGCAAAACCCTCCCTGTCTGTGTGCGGGGGTCGTGCAGGCCCTGGTTCCTCTGGGGAAGGTCTAGAGGAGCTCTTGGACCTGATGGGGGAAGGCGCCCAGGCGAGAGGGGTCGACGGCGTCAGGACCGGGAGGGTTCACGCTGAGGCACTCGCGGGGCAAGGCATCGGCGAGCGGTACGTGGGCACCACACATGACACCGCGCTTGTGGTGCTTTTGGTGGAGTTCAGAACCCTGTGTGATCGTGAAGGGAGATGGAATGAGTGGTGTTTTTGGTGGAGTTCGCACCCTGAGGGAGATGGAATGAGTGGGGTTCGGTGGGTTGGCAAGTACCTTGTGTGATCGTTGGTGGAGGGAGATGAGAGATAGGTGGGGTTTAGTGAAGTTGGCGGGTATCGCTGGACACGCCAAGTGATGGTGTGGCCAACATGGACCTCAGGTTACAGGAGAGACCACCACTCATGAACGTCCTCCCCCCCCTCCCAACCCTTACCTCTCGCGACGGGGCCCCTTCTCAGAACTCTGGACAAGCTGTTCGCATCGTGCCCCGGGACGAGAAAAACAAAAGTCTGCATATTTACGCGAAAGTGAAAAACCGAGCACTCCCTTCCCCACTCCTGCCCCCCCCCCCCCCCCCCCCCCTTCCGCTCCGTCCTCGTTTCCCGA